AAGTTAAAAGAGAATTATGAAAGTACAACTAACAGGGTACTCTGCTAATAATATTCCTGTTACTTTATGATTGTGTCATATGACATACAGCTAAATTATTCAATAATTATGAGAGAAATTTATAAGATTTTATTCCTGTAGAAAGCAATACTAGGCAACTAAATGGTCTTTAAATTTTCATGATATATTTTATCTAAGTATAAAGAAGCTAAGAGATATAAGGCTGGGGCAGTTGTCATGAGCCTTAGAAAGTCATTTCTACTAACTTTTTCTTCTTATTATTATTATTGTGTTTTAAGAAGGTTTCTCTGTGTAGCCTTGGCTGTCCTGGAGCTTGATATATAGTCAAGGCTGGCCTTGAACTCACAGAGATCTCCTTGCCTCTCTCTCCAAAAGCTGGGACAACTCTTAAGCTAATCTATTTTTATTTTACAAAGATTCTAATCTATGCTAAGTAACTGACTTTAAATTGAGTTTATAGTAGGAGTGAAACAATATTCATTTTAAGGCAGGATTTTAACAGTCAAATCACAAAATTGTCTTTCCTGGGCTCTGTAACAGAAAGATTACCTAAGCTCTTCCAGAGAGTGACATTGGCATTATTACCCTGGGCTTAGGTGTTTCTTTAACAAATTCAGACAGACTCAAGCCAGGTGTTGCCTGTAATTGTAAAGTTGGATGATCTAAAATTGTACCATTTGTTTTCATTTTTTAGAGACTCTAATCCCCCTCTGACAAATGATATTAGATGACCATATTATCGGTTAATAAAAAGAAATAGAATTCCCATAATAATTTATCATAAAATTAGTCTAGTATTTTAAGTTTTAGTAAAACTAAACTCATAGAAAGATGCCCACTGCCTCCAGCAGACCAATAAAGTGAGACTTCCTAGTCTGATAGGAAAAATCATTGGGAAGGATTTTAAAAAATGTTGTCAGATATAGGTATAGTATATCTTCGTAAGCACAGTTTGATGAGGTCTTCTATATGAATTTTAACTAAAGCATAGGATTCCAGAGTTCAGGTTTTATGTCACTGACCAGTGGATACAATTTTGGGCCTTAGGAGTCGTAGGTCTTAACACTTGCAATCATACAACTAAATGAATCTGTTGATTTTTAGGAAAGATTTAACAAACCAGTGGAAAGAAAATAAATAGCTAATCTTATTAGCCCTGTGGCCCATAATTCTTAAATTTAAATAATAATGAGTTGCTAATATATAATTAATCATGCTAAAATATACTTATTATACCACTAAGACACACTAGCGGAGTCACCTAGGCTAGGAGCTTCTGAGTGTTGCTCAGTGATAAAGCACTTGTGAGGCATTGAAAAATAAATAAAAAGTGTAAAGAAAAAGAAGAGGGAAGGAAGGAGAAAGAAATAGATAATAAATTGGGGCTTTTTTCTTTAAAAAATGACTTTCTTTTTCAACTTAAGTTATTCTTTGTAGTGGAAGATTTTGAAACAAAATGCAAAGTCGTAAACCACCACGGACATGTATATGAGCATGTGAGTCTATTATTCCATAGTTATGGTAAAAAGGTCCATTGTGAACAGTTCTACTGATTACTAAGGACTTGGCAGAGTGTTAATTTATCTCAATGAAACTTCCCCCACAGTCCTGTGAGGTAGGAGTTCATTTTACCAAGGAAAAAAACAGAAACTCAGAGAACAATAATATATCAAAAACATAAATGGCAGTAAATAGTGAAGTGGGTATTTTAAATGAATCAAAGACATGTTCTTTATTGCCT